AGCACGCGAGAACCCTAACGGTAACGGGCGGGTAGGGTCGGGTCGGACGGGCGGACCCTAATTGGCGGGCCGGGTCGGGCGGGCGGGACATTACAGTGTGATGCATAATCGAGAGAGCACGCGAGAACCCTAACAGTCAGGTCGGGTCGGCGACCCTAACGGGCGGGTCGGGTCGGGGCGGGACGGCGGACCCTAACGGGCGGGGGGGGGCGGGTCCGGCGGCCCTAACACTTTTCCCTCTTCCGTCCGTCCTGCCCTCCCTCAGCCACCTCCTCCACCACCTCCACCGCCACCTCCTCCTCCCCCACCTTTCCCACCTCCTCCTCCTCCTCCTCCTCCTCCTCCTCCTCCTCCTCCTGCTCCTCGTCCTGCCTTCTCCTCCTTCTCCTCCTCCTCCTTGTAGGTTTCGAAGGGATCCCACTCCTCGACCCTGCCATCACGATGGTAAAGGAGCTGACGGAGAAGGAGGACTACCAGGGTGCAGGGCTCCTCCGCACGTAGCTCGCTGGAGGTTTTTGGACGCAGGAGCAGCTGTACCAGTATGGAGCAGCTACTACGCCATTATGCGCCCTGTGCTGCTTTGAGGAGGGCACGCCATCACACCGCATATTCAGATGCTTGTTCCACGCGGCTGAGCGTCAAGACTGGTGTGGTGACGAGCGACGGCTGCTTGCCCAGGGACGTATCGAACACGGACCTCGCCACCCAATGACATACGTCACGTGTCGAGGGATGTTCCCTGACCCCGCATTTGACCCCAGCTATGGACTTCCGCCACCCCATCATCATGATCGACTCGTGTGGGAACGTCAGCCCTCTGGAGGAGGATTTAGTGGGATCGTCTGCACAGATGGGTCGGGGAGGCATGCAGTGCATCCTCTTTTATCCCGTGCTGGCTGGGCCGTCGTCATGGTTAGTAACCAAGGCGATGTGTTGGGTGCGCTTTATGGTCCTGTGCGCTTCCCTTGGACGTGTTCTGGAGCAGGGGAGTTGTGGGCGGTCATCTTTGCCCTCCGCTTTAAGGGCCCTGCGCACTTCACCCTCGTCACAGACTACCTTGAGCTCAAGAAGGCTTGGGACAAGGGCAGCGACGCTGGCGCCAGCACAACGAATCGCCTCGGCTAGCTATGGAGGGAGTTTTGGCGATTGGTTCACGACATTGGCCGCGAGTCCATTGACATCGAGTGGATTCCCAGCCATCGCAGTGACGCCCAGCGCCTGCGCGTAGGGCTCTGGGCCGCAGATTGGCTGGGCAACCGTCGAGCTGATGAGCTTGCCAAGAGGGGAGCAGGCATGCACCCTAAGAATGTCCTCGCAGAGACGCTTAAGAAGGTTAGGGTGGTCTCGTCGCGATTCACTTTGCGCATGGTGCTCCGCGTCCTGCGACGATGCGCGCGCTGCAACTTGCGCGACGCTGACCCTATTCCCTTTGAGGGGCCCAAGCGCGAAAGGCAAAAGCTTGACGCGCGCGGGCACCTCATTGTTAAGCGAGGCCTGCGATGGTGCTGCGATCAATGTGGCCGCAGCCGCCACACTCAACGAGGCCTGTTGGCACAGCCATGCCAGGGCCTACCGATTGGCGTTAGAGTCGCGCACACTACACACCACCTCTGGCGCACAGGCCAGATGGTGTTTTGTGCCACATGCGCCGCGCGCTGCGAGACGCGCGTGCACATGATCTTTGAGCCATGCATTAGGCTCCCTGCCCCTGGAACGAGCAGGTACTACAAACGTAGGTACCTGCTCCAGGGCAGGGGCGCCCAACGCCCGTGCGACGTGCCAGGCAGCATTAGCCTTGCGACTGGCCCTGGCCGAAAGGGTGGGCCTGGCGTTTGACTCTGCTGTTGTAGTCTGCCGTGCAATGCAAGGTTTCCTCGAGAGAAAACGGGGTGCCCAGAGATTTGTTCGAAACGCCGTTTTCGACAAGTCTCTGGACACCCTGTGTTTTCTCGAGTAAACTCGCCGTGCTGCGTCTTGCGCTATTTTTCTTTTACAGCACTGGCCTTCTGCCCTGTCCTTTTCAGCGCAGCTCGTCGTGACCGAGAAACCCGAGAAACCCTCCTCCTCCTCCTCCTCCTCCTCCTCCTCCTCCTCTCCTCCTCCTCCTCCTCCTCCTCCTCCTCCTCCTCCTCCCTCCTCCCTCTCTCCCCCTCCTCCTCCTCCTCCTCCTCCTCCTCCTCCTCCTCCTCCTCCTCCTCCTCCTCCTCCTCCTGCACCTCCTCCAGCAGCCGGGCGAAAGCAGCCGGGCGAACGCAGCCGGGCGAAACCAGCCGGGCGAAACCAGCCCGCGCGAAACCAGCGTCGACGGGCGAAACCAGCCCGGGCGAAACCAGCGCCGGGCGAAACCAGCCGGGCGAAACCAGCCGGGCGAAACCAGCCCCGGGCGAAACCAGCGGTTGACCGCCGCCGCCCCGCCGGGGCAACGCGCACGGGCAAGGGCGAGCAGAAGTGGCCGGACGGGGCCTCCTTCATCGGCAATTGGAGGGGCAGCAATGCGGAGGCGCCTGGCGCGGCGCGCGCGCGCTTGCCGTGCGCCTGCGGGCCGACGGTTGACGCTTTCGTCGCGCCGTTGCTTCTGTCGCCGCCGCCACCGCCGCCGCGGCCGCTGCCGCCGCCGCCGCCGTCGCCGTCGCCGTCGTCGTCGTCGTCGTCGTCGTCGTCGTCGTCGTCGTCGTCGTCGTGATCGCGGGCCTTCGACCTGCGGGCGCACCCTCGACGGCGCTGTGGTAGCGGCGGCTGCTGCGCGCAGGCGGCGGCGGCGACGAAGACGAGGCAGGGGCTGTGGACGGGGAGCGACTGCACGAACAAGGAGAGGAGGGAGCCAGGAGGGGAGGAGTGGAAGGGTGGGAAGGAGGGGGGAGGGGGATAGGGGTGGGAGCAACGAGGGAGAACGGAGGGACCAGGAGGGATAGGGGAGGTAGGGGGGGAGAGGATGGATGACCTGATGGGGGTGGGAGGGTCAGGGGTAGGGGGCAAGATTGAGAGGAGGGAGGGAGGGGGGGGGTAGAGTGGAAAGAAAAGGGGGATACTATGAGAGCACATTCAGGCGGAGGAGGTAGATATCAAAGGCATGCGGCGAAGCACCGCCGCCCCCTGCCTTTTAGGATACGCCTATGTGGCCAAACGTTTGGGCAAATGTTGGCCACGCTATTGGACCATGCGGTCCCCCAGGCGTTGTGGAAGCCCTTTGGGGAAAACGTGGGGGAGGAAGTGGAGGATGAGGAGAGAGAGGAGAAAGGAGTATCAGGAGAAGGATGAGGAGACTCCTTGGGAGCTTCTTGGGTCATTCTTGGGGCCTCCAGGGAGCTTCCTGCGAGCCTCTTGGAGGCCTCTTGGGGACCTCTTGGGGGCCTCTTGGGGGCTTCTGCGGGCTTCCTCGGGGCCGTTTGGCAGTCTTACAGGCGTTCCTGGCCCATCCGATACCGTCGGACGCCGTCTTGGGAGCCTCTCTGGGCCCTCCTGGGGCGCTTCGGCGCCGCCTTGGAGCCCACCCTGGGCGTCAGGGAGGCCTCCTGGGCCGACCTGGGGCTCTCTGGGGGCCTTCTCGGGAGCCTTTTGGGCCGTTCCAGAGTCATCTTGGATGCCTCTTGGGCGATCTTTGGCAATTTTTGGGGTCTCTTGGGCCGTCTTGGGCCGTCGGGCTCGTTTTGAAGCAAACGCCTACGCCTTTGAAAAACCCAATGGGCATCCATAAGTTTGGCATCCTCGGGCCTTCCTGGAAGACCTCTTGGAGGCCTCTCTCGCCGTCTTAGGGGCCTCTTGGGTGCCTCTTGGGCCGTGTTGGGCTCTCTTGGACCACATTGCGGGTCTTGGAGGCACCTTGGGACCGTCTTGGAGGCCATCCTGGGGCTATCTTGGACTCTCTTGGGGCAATCTTGGCCGTCTTGGAGACATCTTGGAGGCCATCTTGGGCCATCTTGGCCGTCTTGGAGGTCATGCAGGAGCCGAAATTCGACGACACGGAGGTTTTCGGGTGGCCAGTGCAATGAGCCGAAGCCCCAGGGGGAGATCCTCAAAGAACAACAACCAGACGTTTGGCACGCTAGACACCCCTGTGCTAAATCAACAAGGGGCGGCGTATCGAAGACGTCTACGGCGAATCACCGCCCCCCTGTTGTTTGGAATCGCCCATGTGGCCGAACGTCGTGGCCAGAGCCCTGCTAGGTTATCGGACCATGTTTCCCCCCAGCCGTTGTGGAAATCCTTTGGGGAACACGCGGGGGAGAATGAAGAAGTGGAGGAGAAGGAACAGGAGGAGGAAGACCAGTGTGAAGCCAAGAGTCATCGACGAAGTTGGACTAAACCATCCCTCCAAGGCCCCTCCCCATAGGCCTCTACAATAGTTCATTTGCGCTGAGGGAACTGCCTCGTTGGAAGACAACCGTTTGAAGACCCTGAAGCATGCCAAAACATTGTTCTCGGGATTCCAGCGCCACGGATCAACCTGACTGTTGCGTCTGGACGGTCCTGAACCATGCCAGAACGCCATTCCTGGGACTTCAACACTGCGATTCAACGTAACTATTGTACATTTTGAAAAGGAACCGCCCTCAACCAGTAAAACGCTTGCAGTCTTAAAACGAATGTGCGCGGCGCTAGGGCGAGATCTATATTTCGAAAGCGGCACGCGCCCTCAATCTGTGAAGCTCTTGCACATTTTGAAAGCGAATGTGCGCGACTCTAAGGCGAAACGCGGGAGGGAGGGGGGGAGCGCTGCGGTTGCAGGGTCATACATGGTGAGGGTGTCTCAGGCGAAACGCCCGGCCCGCCCTAAAAACTGGTCCCGTGGTGCGCCAGGGAGAATTTATTCCCAACCATCCTGCGTTGGGTTCTCGTTTTGAATAGAGCACTGCTCGCGCGTCTCCTTCCCACCGTCTCCTTCCCACCGTCTCCTTCCCACCCCCTCCCGTCCCTCTCTTCCCCCCTGCCTCCTACCTGGTCATCCCTGTGCCACTTTCGAGGGCTGCTGGGGGCTGCGATCTGTGAAATTGTCGCCACTTTCGAGGGCTGCTGGGGGGCCCAGCTCAGTGGGTACCCACCGCAGACTCAAATTAGACCTCGCCATCCCTGGGGGGCAGTGATCTGTGAAGCTGTCGCCACTTTCGAGGGCTGCTGGGGGCCCAACACAGTGGGTACACACCGCAGATTCAAATTAGACCTCGCCATCCCTGGGGGGCTGCGATCTGTGAAACTGTCGCCACTTTCGAGGCCTGCTGGGGGGCCCAGCACAGTGGATACACACCGCAGATTCAAATCAGACCTCGCCATCCCTGGGGGGCTGCGATCTGTGAAACTGTCGCCACTTTCGAGGGCCTGCTGGGGGGCCCAGCACAATGGGTACACACCGCAGATTCAAATTAGACCTCGCCATCCCTGGGGGGCTGCGATCTGTGAAACTGTCGCCACTTTCGAGGCCTGCTGGGGGGCCCAGCACAGTGGGTACACACCGCAGACTCAAATTAGACCTCGCCATCCCTGGGGGGCTGCGATCTGTGAAACTGTCGCCACTTTCGAGGCCTGCTGGGGGGCCCAGCACAGTGGGTACACACCGCAGAGTCAAATTCGACCTCGCCATCCCTGGGGGGCTGCGATCTGTGAAACTGTCGCCACTTTCGAGGGCTACTGGAGGGCTCAGCACAGTGGGTACCCACCGCAGTCTCAAATTAGACATCGCCATCCCTGTGGGGCTGCGATCTGTGAAACTGTCGCCACTTTCGAGGGCTGCTGGGGGGCCCAGCACAGTGCGTACCCACCGCAGAGTCAAATTCGACCTCGCCATACTTGGGGGGCTGCGATCTGTGAAACTGTCGCCACTTTCGAGGGCTGCTGAGGGGCCCAGCACAGTGGGTACCCACCGCAGACTCAAATTAGACCTCGCCATCCCTGGGGGCTGCGATCTGTGAAACCGTCGCTACTTTCGAGGGCTGCTGAGGGGCCCAGCACAGTGGGTACCCACCGCAGACTCAAATTAAACACCGCCATCCCTGGGGGGCTGCGATCTGTGAAACTGTCGCCACTTTCGAGGCCTGCTGAGGGGCCCAGCACAGTGGGTACCTACCGCAGAGTCAAATTAGACCTCGCCATCACTGGGGGGCTGCGATCTGTGAAACTGCCGCCACTTTCGAGGCCTGCTGGGAGGCCCAGCACAATGGGTACACACCGCAGATTCAAATTAGACCTCCCCATCCCTGGGGGGCTGCGATCTGTGAAACTGTCGCCACTTTCGAGGCTTGCTGGGGGGCCCAGCACAGTGCGTACCCACCGCAGACTCAAATTAGACATCGCCATCTCTGGGGGGCTGCGATCTGTGAAACTGTCGCCACTTTCGAGGCCTGCTGAGGGGCCCAGCACAGTGGGTACACACCGCAGATTCAAATTAGACCCCGCCATCCCTGGGGGGCTGCGATCTGTGAAACTGTCGCCACTTTCGAGGGCTGCTGAGGGGGCCAGCACAGTGGGTACCCACCGCAGACTCAACTTAGACCTCGTCATCCCTGGGGGGCTGCGATCTGTGAAACTGTCGCCACGTTCGAGGGGGCCCAGCACAGTGGGTACCCACCGCAGACTCAAATTAGACCTCGCCATCCCTGGGGGGCTGCGATCTGTGAAACTGTCGCCACTTTCGAGGGCTGCCGAGGGGCCCAGCACAGTGGGTACCCACCGCAGGCTCAAATTAGACATCGCCATCCCTGGGGGGCTGCGATCTGTGAAACTGTCGCCACTTTCGAGGGCTGCTGAGGGGCCCAGCACAGTGCGTACCCACCGCAGAGTCAAATTAGACCTCGCCATCCCTGAGGGGCTGCGATCTGTGAAACTGTCGCCACTTTCGAGGGCTACTGAGGGGCACAGCACAGTGGGTACCCACCGCAGATTCAATTTAGACGCAGCTTTCGTTCTTGTTCTCCTCCTGCAGTCACCTTCCCTCTGCTGCTGCCGTGCTGATGGTTCGACTTCCCGCACGTTGTTCTCCTGCTCTGCGTTCCCGACTCCCCATGTCCTCTTCGAGCCTGTAGCTGTCGCCCCTCGTTCTTGTATGGTTCTCCTGCGCATCATGCCATAGGCGCGTGCCCCAAGTAGCTTACACATCAAGTTGATTGTCCATGCAAGTTTCGGCCAACTCCTCGTTTCCATTGATACAAATGGGTTGGGTACGTCACAGGGTAATTTATAAGGAGTAGGAAAGGAGGGAAAGTGGGAGGAGGAGGGGGAGGAGGAGGAGGAGGAGGCCTCTTGGGAACCTCTTGGGAACCTTCCAAGAGTAATAGTAGTAGTAGTAGTAGTAGTAGTAGTAGTAGTAGTAGTAGTAGTAGTAGTAGTAGTAGCAGTAGCAGTAGCAGTAGTAGTAATAGTCGTAGTAGTAGTAGTAGTAGTAGTAGTAGTAGTAGTAGCAGTAGTAGTAGTAGTAGTAGTAGTAGTAGTAGTACTTACTAGTAGTAGTAGTAGTAGTAGTAGTAGTAGTAGTAGTAGTAGTAGTAGTAGTAGTAGTAATAGTAAGTAGTA